AAGGATCGTAAAGGGAGCGGCGAGGGGAGCGTAGAAGGAGCAAGTACGGAGCGGAGGAGCAACGTTTAAGGACAGCCGCATTCGTCCACTACCATCTTCGGTAGATCTCGCTTGATGATGTTGGAGTCAGGACCGTAGTAGATCAACGACATTGGCGAGAACTTGAGAGGAGCGCAGCAAGGCTGCATACCAGCCAGTCGATCCATCTTCCGATACTCCTCGATCACGTGGGTGTAGTAATTGAGGAAAGTGTCCGGTGTTCTGTGCCCGGCCGCGCAATCTCCCCTGCAGTAATTCGCGTAGTACCTACACACATTGAATAAATGCGTCCGTGTTACTGTCGTATGCGTTCGTGTTAGGCTCGTTCGACCAGTTCCTTTCGGCAGGAGGGAATATATATTAATTAAAAGTGGGCGAAATACGGAGATATATAGTTTCGAAAGGAGGAGCTTCAGACGAGCTAGATGCTCGAATCGAAGTTGAGTCGTCTGTTGCGCGTTGTATACAAACTCGCGTGTGTCCCTGCGGAGCATGCTTCGTTAAGCTTTAGACAATTCTGTTTGCAATAATTGCTCGTAAGTTAAGGGTTTAGGGCCGTTGCACTTGTAAGCGACACTCTGATTTCACAGGGATACCCTACGAGTGACTTGCAGCTACTGATCGACGGCTCCCTGTGAAAGCATCGTCGCGTGCCACCGTGCAACCGGCGCGTACACACTCCGCTCCACCCGTGTGTCTACGTGAGGCTAACTTGATAACAATTCGATCGACGAAACAACCGTCCACCCTGACAACGTTGCGTCGAGTAACGTTACACCTCGTTTGTTCTTTTGACTACATAGGTCTATACTACAGAGGCCTATACTATAGCCCGTCATAAATAGGATTAGGATAGGTACATAGGTACTCGTTACGAGAGGCGGACCGTGTTTTAGCTATAAAATTCCATTGACGAGTTGTTTCGAGATGAAAAATTTAGAGCTCGAAGGAACATTGAATTCAGTTCGTTGTCCTTTTAAAATGGAGGATTTTTCAAGCACGGTGTAACGAGTGAAAATAATTTTTTCCTTCTCCGATGTGAAGGTGAACCAAAGTTAAGCACATTTCTTGCCTTGTAATTGGCCAATCGTTTTAACTGTTTGAAAAGTAGAATATTCGTACAGGTGGGAGAGGAGGTATTCGCGCTCCGAAGTAAATTTTTCTTACCCTTGGGGAGCAATTATCCAGTCGTCCCAACCGAGTTGAGAAAAGTTCACGTAAAATCGTTGCTTGCAGCATTGACCCTTTATAGCACCGCTGCACTCGATCGCTCGTCTCCTAACCCGTTTCACAGCCGCGGGATCCGTGCGGACTACTAGAAAAGGTCTGTCTGGATCTTGAGTACCTGCGAAACACACCGCGCGATTTGTCGTCAATCGTAAATCATACATTCACATCGAGCAAATATACTTATTATTATGCGCGTTGTGCACTTGGGCATTGTGACGGGTCTGTGCAAACAACATAACATTTCCATTGTCTTCGACAGATCGTCTTTGTTTTCAAATTTTATTGCTCGTAATTACGTACGATGGTGAAAGCACGTTGAAAAGACGAGAGTACCTTTTGCGTTCAATGACGACTCGATTACGTGCGGCGAGTGTCCGTCAAACGTTGATACGTAGACGTGCGAGCCGCATCCGGTACAGTCGACGAGCAACGTCAGTTTATCCCTGGCGGCATCACGATTCGTCGTGTACCAACTATTCACAACCTTGGTGACGTCGAACTTGAGCCAACCGAGTTGTCCAACGTTTACACCAAGGGACGTGACCATTTCCAAGTGTTGGCCTAGCTCCTGCGAATATACGTATATATATCCATTTATTCCCCCCGTTTCTGTTCACGCAACGAGGAACGTGTTCTTTCCTGTGTTATTCTTATTTCTTTTCCTTTCTTTTCTCTTTCTCTTTTACTTTTATTTTTTTTCACCCTAGCCGGCATTACTTGAAGCTTCCCGATCGGCTGAAACCCGTCAACCGTAGCCGGTAATATTGGACGAATGATTGCTAAGACGACTTAAGATCGCAGTGCGTTTTAATGCGATTAAATTTATATAAGTCGGACGAAAGTGTTCAAGTCCTTTCTCTTATCAGTGTCGTGATGTGTAATGTGACGTCACGATATATATATATATATATATATATAAGTAACATAGAGTATAGATAAATCGTACAAACTTCGTCAGGGGATGTTTCGGTAATCGTCTTCAATGCACGGTAATAGTCTTCGAAACAAGTATAAACCCAAACTTCACTAACTTTACTTTAGCATTAGCGCGCTAGTAAGCTTAGTATTAGTTGACGAAAGAAATATTAGAATTATTTCTTTGGACGAAGAGATTGTGAAAAATACGGACGGAATGAAGAAGCGAAGAATACGGGATGAGCAAAGAGAAAGGTATTAACCTCTTAACGCTTACGCCTGTAAGTAGAAACAGCCAATCTATGTAAGACCGTGGATAGTCGTGGATAGACTCTGCTCTACTTTAGCCTAACTGCGTACACTAACTGATACTCGCGTGTGTATGAATTATTATTTCGCTAGCATTGCCCCTCAAATATCTTGCTATCTTGCTTACAATTTGAAAAGAAGATCCGTGGCGTTGAGGAGGATTATAAAGTTAAGTAAGCAAGACGAATGATCGACCGGTTAGGATTACCTTTCCACGCAAGTGCGTCGTGTTGCCGCAGCGTACTCGAAATACCCAGAGAGTAATATTCCTCTGGTTCGTTTGACTCTGGCGATAATGTTGATAATGATGGGCATGCCTGAACTCGACTCTCGTCCAAAGGGTTGCTCTTTTGATTCTCAGCGGCTCCAGCGCTGGTTCCCCACTGGACATTGGAAACTCCAGCAACGGCTGCCCGTTCAGCGTACGTCCTACGAACAAGAAGCAATTGTTTCGTCAGAAGAGAATATTTCACATTTCAATTTTTGTTCTCAACGAACGGAAATATCTTTCAAGGCGTTTACAAGGAAATGCGCACGAAGTGTCTGTGTTACGAAGAGCTTTCAATTTCTCGTGTTTCTCCCTCCTCCCGCTCCAATCTTTTTACGCATATTAGAGTTATAAGACTCTCGTCTTGCGAAGTTAAGCCGAGAAACGTGTACGCGTTGTTGTTCAACTTCGAAACGTGGTTACTCGCCGACCTTCGTAAACCCGTAGTTCGCGGAGGCTTCTCCCTCTGGCCGCGTAATCTCGCAGCTCTGACAACGTGAATTTACCACGTTTTGCTTCTTCTCGAAAAGATAATCCAGAAGAAAAAGAGAGAGTGTGTGAGAGAGAGAGAGAGTGAGAGGGAGAAGGAAAACATCGAGTCCCTGATAAAACTCTTTCAACTTTATTGCACGTGTACCGAACGATCGATCGAAATCAGAAATCCGACGGACGTTACAGAAGTGACACAACGTGCAAGATGAATTTCTCCTCTAAGTAAATCACTCGACTGCAATCTCGCTCGTGTTGCACGTATTATAAAAACTGTCTAATAGAAAGAACCGTGACAGACAGGGTGGAAATATACATATCATATGCATGTATATATATATACACACACACATGTAGAGGAAAAGAACACGAGATGCGGAGTTGACAGAGAGACAGAGAGAGAGAGAGAGAGAGAGAGAGATAAAGGGATAAAGAGAGAGAAAGTGTAATGCACTCGGACGGCTCAAAGCTCGTGTGCCTGGTAGACAATGTGTTCGCGGAGGCACACAGGGATTCGCACACACACACATACATACATACATAGGAGACCGCGATGAAATACAAGGGGGCGAGAGAACGTTGTTCGTGTACAAGCGTAACAAGAGATACATCGAAGCTATCGAGCAGTGCACGCGTGGAGGCACGGGTGCAGGTTAACGCACACGGATCTGGTAAATATCGGTGTCGGTGTGAGCGAGCACACTGTGAAAAGCAGAGCCGTGGCTTTATCCCTTAACGGTTTAGTGAGTCACGGACCGAGCGCCGTTGGAGGGACGAGGATAAGCATGGGGGTGTCTGCCATCCGTCTGCCTTCCGCTTTCCGTTCCCCGCAGCCCACGCTTCTTCTCTCTTTCGCCACTTCACCCCTTTCATTTCGTTCCTTACCCTCCTCCACTCTCCGCACGCTGTCCCGTTATTTCCTTTTCTTTTCTACCCTTGCGTAGCTAGCCTGTAGGCACCGCCGACACTGACACCGTCGTCGTCGTCGTCGTCGTCGTCGTCATTGTCGTCGTCGTCGCCGACACCGACACCGTCGTTCGACACTGATACTGACACTGACACCGACACCGACACCGGCATCAACATCGACATCGACATCGACACTCAACGACTAACACCAACAACAACACAACGTAGACAGACTCGGAGACTCCCCTACTAGAGCCAACAACGTCCACACCCTCAACGTAACCCCCCTCGGTAACGGTCTATGGTCTAGAGTCTAGAGCGTCGTGACGCCAACCACCGAGATATTCAACCTACCGATCTCTTGGCTCTACTCGTTTAACCTTTTAAGTATGGACCAACCGATATATATATAT